CACACACACACACACACACACACACACACACAAACACACACAAACTCTGGCAAAAGGTTATTGCTGCCTAATCTTATGTTGAAATGAATATGCTTAAAATATTCTTTGATTTTTAATTTACTCAGTTTTGGCTGAAAAGTTAGGATTAAATATTAAAATACAAACTGAATTTAATTAAGAGCTGAGGAGTTTAGCCTTGATACTTCACATTGTTGTGAATTAATGATTATCTTTGTGAGACAGAGAACGTTGCAGGGTTGAGCAGTGAAGCCATGCATTTAATGTTTATCTAAATCCAAAACAGCCTGTTAGAAATGTTTGAGTTTGAGCTAATCAGTAATTTAGAATCAGGGTTGTGTGTCCTGAGAACACATACAGATCTGTGGTGGAACATATGAGAGCTCCATGTGATCTGCACCTGTGTGATCTGCACCTGTGTGATCTGCACCTGTTTGCTATTTTGAAGTTTGAAGCATGAGATGCCCAAATATAATCCCATGAGGAAAAAACYTTTTCTCAACTAAAGTTTCCCTTATTAACCTATCAGGCTGCAAGGACTACAATCAATGTCTTCTTTATTTGTACTGAATGACACACAAACATGACCTTTTCTTCACCCAAAATGGGACTTCATCCCACATTACTGAGCTCATCTGTCTTCACATGAAAAAGGAATTTTGAGTACAGATTATTATTTTTTAAGTTATGTAACTAGGTAATTGAGTTTTGTAAATCTGGTGAAACTTAAAACTAATTTAMAAACCTGAAAGTTGTTTTACACTTTTTACATTTTGTTACAATGAATTTTTTTTGAGGTACATCGTGACCATTTGAGATAATAAGCCTCTAAAGATTTCTGTKTATCCAATTTAATCACCCTGGTTAAACTTTACCAAACTTCATTAACTGAAATGTGACCTTAGTGCCACAAACATTTCAAGCTAGAACATTTTCCTGATTTACTTTGAAGAAATGTTTAAATAAAGAATATGTAACTGAAAATCAGTTTTTAACACCAACTTTTTACAATAAGTTAGATTTGGCTTCCCAGCCTTTCAAATATTTGGTAATTTTGAAAACTTATGCTGTGTTCAGGGCAAAGTGAGCCGGATAGATAGGACAGTTAAGTGAAACTGATTGTCYTCCTGGTTGATTGTTTACCTGGAGGATGTGCTGTGACACAAAGATGTTGTTTAGGAAATGGATAAAACTCTAAAAATCCAAGGATTTTTTTTATCAGCAGCTGCGTTATTCAGATCACTGTAATGGTTTGTAATTGACCTACTCTGTTTAAAATCAAATGCTTCACCCTGCTAGTTAAAAGTTAATATATTTGTGTGTGTGTGTGTGTGTGTGTGTGTGTG